ACAAAAATAAAGCCGACAAAATTCTTTATAAAATGATTCTATATATTTTTGTTCCCGGACTTATGGTTTCCGAACTACGCCCTTCATAAATTTGGATACTAAATTAAATGTCCATTTCAAGTAAAATAAAATATAATTTCAGCTATTCTAAAGTTGAAAAATTTGAAAAGGATGCATTTCTGCAGAAAATTTTTATGGCATACTATTCGAAATTGCTTCCAAATACTAAATAAGCAAATATTTCTTATATAACTGATTTCAAGTAAACGAAAGTAGCCCTGATTTCAGCTATTCTAAAGTTGAAAAATTCAAAAAGGATGCATTTTCGCAAAAAAATTCTTATAACATACTATTCGAAAAGGCTTCCAAATACTAAATAAACAAATATTTCTTACAAAACCGATTTCAATTAAACGAAACTTGAGCCCAGAACTCTTCTGTCGCACTGCAAAAACAGTCATAAGAATTACTACAAAACAGGGTGTAGTCAACAGATGTTTAGAATTGCAGAGAAATTTGCCATGGCAGAGACAGGTGAAAAAGGTCATAGTAGAATTTATTACGCCAGAACTGTTAAGTAAAGAGAGACAGACAGTCAATTAACAGAAAATTCTATATGCGACGTGGCCTTAATAGACATTAGAAGCTGATGGAATTGATGGTTGAAGCGATGTTCAGATTTCGTCTTATCTGAAGAAGAAACGGCAAAACATTTTATGTCTGTGCGATAGCCTGGAAAATGTTCGGTGCTTTGTACTAGGGCCATTGACAAAGAGCTATATGGAGGGCTCAGTCTTAAAGTTGCTACTTTTTAAAAAGGATAGAACTAGAAAATGTAATCTAGAAATCAGAAGAGGACTACCACAGATCTAAAAACATTGCAGTGGAACAGGCCCCCGATAGCTACCTCAAAAACCTAGTCGGATCTAATCTCACATAATACTGGGTATCCAGTGTATTTCTTACTTTTCGAAAGTGTCACAAGTACCCCTCGAGCCGCTACTGAGTGTGGTTGGGCAGCTAGTATCAAGCTGCGGAGCGGTTACGTGCCCTGCAAGGCCAAAAGCGTAGCCCACGAGGGCCTTTTTTCAACTTTTATAAATAAAATGGCGCGGGGAAAAAACAATATCCTCTACGTGTCGAAAATTTCGAACGCGGTCTGCCGATAGAACGGATATCTTTTTATAATCAGCCTCGGAAAATTGAAAAAAAATCGTAATTTAAACTTCCTTTTGTAGCAGGAAAAAAATAATTTAATTTCTAAACAAAATAGAAGGTTTTGTGTTTGGGGTGATTTTTCGATAATGGAGTTACTAAAATAACTCTGTAGTGTAAATGAATACTAATTATGTTGTATTAATATTTTAATTAAATCTTTGTTTTTTGCATTATACAGGGTGTCCCAATATTCCGTGGACATAGAATTACTACGTATTTTTGGAATCAAAATAAGTTTATTAAACACAATTTACCTCTATACAAAAGAGCCTCGTTTGTCCGTTAAAGGGCATCAACTTTTAAAAAATCAACACATTTTAGATATTCTAAAAACCGTTATACTGATTTGTATGAATTTCGGGGTATGTATGATTTCATAAGTGCTTGAGCATTTGACTTTAACAAATATTAAAAAAAGCGCGTTTTTGTACTAGATAATAATATACCATTGACATAGAGCTACATAAAGAGTTCAGTATCCAAGTTACTAGACTTTTTAAAAAGAATAGGACTGGAGAATGGAACCTAAGGATCAGAAGAGGACCACAATAGATCTGAAAAAGTCGCAGTGGAACAGGTCAGTAGCCACCTCAAAAAACTGTAAATGATAGTTTAGTTTTTATTATCTTCTGATGATATCAAACTGATTAACAAAACGTGCGTATAGAAGTTTTTTTCTGTTAAAGTTGTTCTTTTTAGTTGGAAGTGGGTCAAATAAAACTAATGTTTGCTGTTTAGTAGTTAGTAAACGTTGTTCCTTGTCCCAAACTCAACTAAAAAAACAACTTTGACTGCTATTTTGGGATCACTAGAACAACAAAATTTTGTGGAGATGAAAGATTATATGAAAATTGGTATACCTGTAGAGGCATGAAATATTAATGAAGTCGTAAAAATAGCTAGTACTCTTTAAAAAAAATACCCTTTTTTAACAATATGGACTTATAATTTAGTTTTTATTGTGGTGGTTTTAGAAATATAAAAAATGATTTAACATAAAAAATAATAAAACAAATTATTACAATTTTAAAACAATAACTCTGTTTTAATCTCGACAATTTGGATAATATATCATAAAGTTTTGTACTTTTAATGAGAAATTTATCAACATTAAATTATTCCATACATTACTTTTTCTATAATCTGTTAATCCGAAACATGTTATTGTGATTTACAGACTAATTATAGGTAAATGTAATTGATAAATTAGTTGTGTTTGTTCAAATTTATAAATGATGTAAATAAAGTTTTGATATTGATATTTGTGGTAGTATTTCATGTATTAATATAATTATTAGGGTAATTATAAATTTGTTGATTAATTAACTAAATAATATCATATTCAGGTTACTGAGATTTAGTAGTTATTAATTAATCATTTATTATTTTCGAAAATAACAATGCAAATGTATTTTTAGTAAATTTTGTTAAAAATTAAATTTTTTAAGAAGATTACATGTGTTAAAAATAAACTTTCCTTTGAAAATTGCTTTAAAAAAACACTACTGGCGCAGTCGGTTGGATTCCATAATATTTCTTGGTTTGATGGTCCGTTCCTGTTTTATTAAATTTTATTTCAATTTCTAATCAAATCAATTTCTAATCAAATCATAATTCCGACCGGGTCTCCAATATTAGTCGTCTCACACGACCGAAGTCATCAAACCGGACGACCGGCAATCGTATTATGACGTATATAATTCCAACGTACGCCACGTAAAATTTGCGATCGGCCGGCATACATCCGTCGTCGGCCACAGAGCATATAATTTTTCGTATTCCTGGTAAACGATGCCCGACGTTGTCTGTTATTGGTCTATGATAGGTCAATTGTTTGTTGTCAAAACATGTTTGACAGTTGACGGTTCAACGGTATCGTAGGCGTAACCTCACTTTGCGTATCAGTGATTTGTGGATTTGTGCAATTATACTTTAGTTTTTGTTTTCTCCTTAAAAAATGGGCAGCCACTTTTTTAACATAGGTAGTATATATACAAAATTTAAAAGAATTGGAACCAGTACCTCACATGTGGGAGGAGGATGGGATCTGCTAGTTTCCTAAGCTAAAAAAAGAAATTAAGATGCACCAGTGTAATGCAGCATCTCTTCCAGATAAAAAGCATTCGTGGGTGGAGGCAAGACATAACTACTACTATTATTATTTTGCAAAAGCCTCGACCTCTTTCTGTAAAATGTAGATGAATGTCTAAATGCCTTTTTAGTGTTTTTTAGGCATAATTTTTATTAGGTTATGTTCATGATTTTCATTAGGCCGCAAATGCTACTTAATGGGTTGCATTTACGGACGTAGAGATACGTAAATTAGGTTATAAATATGAACATAAAATACAACAAAATATAATTGGACGTTACTTTAGGGATTATCAGTGAGACGTATGCTATTCGGACAACGGGTAGACGTCGGGCTAGTTCAAGTATATGTACGTCGTCCAAGCCAACGTGGGAGCGACGTTGGGAAATTAATAAAAAATGGTACGTTGTTATTTTGTACGTCGACAGATCGTTGGATTTACCGTCTCGGATTCAACGACGTCGCTATTAATAGGAAAGCGACGTCACCGGTCGTATTACCAGCACCCGACCTAAATTTGCACAAAGTCTGACGTCGCTTCAGGTCAGATTTAGTTCGAAGTCAGGTAGATGCTACTTGGGAAATTTTTGCTGTGTTAGAGTACCACATTTTCTAATAACTATTATCACCTTTTCCGTAGCATTGAACTAAATAAACTTATACAACTTATTTTGTGCTTCTTTAACATTTTAAAACAGCAAAAAATATGATATTAATTAAAATTCTCTCAATAAAACTCTATCAAAGAATGAAAACGAAACTATATTACCATAGAAACGCGTTTTCATTTTCAGGACTTTCTCAGATTTCCTTATATTTATTATTTTCTTTCTAAAACGGCATGGAAATTTGAAAGAGTTAAAACGTGATTAACCATTTTAGAGCAAGCAAAAGTTTTTCTCAAAATGTCAATAATAAAAAAAGTTTTTCCTCTTGTATAGATAATCCGGGGACATTTTGTAGAATACAATATATTTTAAATTTCGCTTCGCTATATATGTTAATCTTTTTTTAATACACGCATTGAAAATTGTACATATTGTTTCAAAAAAAGACAATAATTGTGTGACATAACAGTGGTACAGAGATAGTAATCTTCCGTTATATTTGTATTAACTCTGCTAGTAGAAACTTTGTTGCCAGGTTAATACCGTATTAAATGACCTGTTTATAAATTGACGGTTGTTGTCAATTGAGATCAGTTATTTTGTCAAAAAGAAGCTCGACAAAAGTTACTACATTCTAACCTAACTAAAGGAATATAAAAAATTCCTTCAGTGTCTGAAATATCAAAATATGGTAGCAGGAGATTAATGATTAATGATGTAAATAAGTTATTAATGCAGTTAGATGGTTCTCAGTTAGAAAGGTAAAGGGAATTATGGAATCTTAATTCCTGTTAATAATATCCCAAGGGAGTTATTACTCTATTTATGGTTAGCTTAATCAAGACGATATAGGCTTATATTAATTTAGTAAGAAATAAAGAAAGTTAGAGATGGAGATAGCTATTACGAGTCTTACGTATTAGAATGCTATGAAAAAAAAACAAACAAAATTAGATAAAACTACCCGTAATAGAAAAAAATAGTCGGTCGTAAATCTACCACCATCCCTCCCCTTTGTATCCCTCCCAAACATAAATATTTACTAGCGAACCTACAGTCCGCAGCACAACCAATCAACCGACCTTTTTCACCGTCAAGCTCATGGGCTCCATCCGCACCGCCGGCCGCCTCCTGACTCTAACAAATTTCGACATGCACTGTTGAATATTAAAGTCCTCCACTTGACATGTAAATTTGCCCTCGTCGTGACGTCGCGCCCTCTCCACGGCCAATAGCGCCGTGTACTGGTCGGTCACGTGCGGGTCCTTTATCAGCTTTATCCACTTCTGCCTGCGAATCCAAGAAAAAGAACAAGAATGTTTAATATGAACGGGAGTGGAAAAGAAGGGTAAGATAGAGGCCATGGTTGTTTGTTTCAAAAAAGGAAAGATTGTTTAAGTGTTAAACGATTCTTTCTCTTTTAGGTTTCCGCAGTATTTATACAGGGTGAGTCTTGAATAAATGCAAATATTTTTAGGGATGTTAGGTCTCGATAAAAGAAATATATTTTCTCTTTACCGTTTTTCAAATAAGTCCAAAATAACCGAGTTAAAACTATTTTTTGTGGTTTTTTCCTTAATTTATTCCTCTAATTTTAATCTACTACCGATGTTATCACGTTTTTAAGATATTATATTTTTTATTGGACGCGCGTTTTGCTAACCATGTTAGCATCATCAGCAGATGATTATAAACTAAAGTACAATCTACAAGTTGAGCGTTTATATACTCGCCCAGTGGGCACCGAGTGGGCGTGGCAAAATCTAGCCAATGGAGTCAGAGCCCACTGTAGCACTGTTATCCCACACAACAAATAGAAAAAGCTTAACTCTGATACTTCAATAAGATATTATGCTATTCAGTTATTATATACCGTATGATCGAGAAAAAACGGCGTCAAAGGCGGCTTAGGAATGACTATCGATGCTATTTTTGACGAGATAGAACTCTAGACGTCAGTTACTGAGAATTGACATAAAATTTGTCAAAAATTAATACTTTATATAGAAAAACCAGAAAAGAATAGAAAGTTTCCAGATACACATATCTATTCCCAAAAATTGTTTTTCAAATGTTTTGATCTGCACCAGTTCTACTCAATAAAAAATCGATATTAAATCATCCTTAATGCAGTAAACGCCTTTTTCAAAATAAAGAAAAGTAAGGCCAGTAAGACTCTAACCTAATCCAAATCTCGTCGTCCGACAAGCCTCCGACCCCTCCAACAGAGACGTTTCGTCAAAATTTTTGATTATTGTGCTGTTAAAATGTACGGATTAGCCTTTTATTATTGTTTCATACACACTAGACCGTTCAGATTTACTAATATTGCATTGATTGTAGCCGTAAATAAAAATGTGTGTTTAATACCAGTAAATAATCCGTTAGTTGATGAAAGAAGTATCGTGTTTATCGACAAAATTAATTGTAGGCTTTTAAATTTTGCTTAATATGGTCATATTTTACAATATTCAACTCATAATTGTTGATACTTCTGGTGGACGATGTTCAATTTATACATATATAAATTATAAACAAACCAAATTGAAACAATAAGGTGAGAGACAATAAGGTGAGATAGTAATTTTTACGAAATCCCTGTATTATTACTTCTTTACTTATAGAGTATCTGTTCCTGTGTATGCCCAAGTTTCTGTTTTCCAAGAAGCATATTAATTAAATGAACAAAACTGTGTCCAAGAAATAATCTATTGCATAGAGGATTTAATGAAAACAAAATTGATGATGCTGTAATCACAAAGTTCCATGCAGGAATCAATGGTTATTGCTAAAATATGTTATTGGTGTATTGTCAATTTTATTTACTTATATATTACATTATTTAATCTCAATAATTTTAGGCTGGTAAGTCGTTTATTTACATACCTAACTTTTAACGTAACTACTGGTAGATTGTAGGAAATAATATACACTTTGGAACAATTGAAGTAAATAAATGAATTAATATAATACATACATCAAGAAGTAATATATAATTTTGGAAAAAGTGTGTGTTAATCACTTTCGAAAATCATAATTGTTTTTTTAGTAAGTCGCAGAACTTAGACAAATAATTTAGGTTTGTTATTAAATTAAATGTAATATGTACAGATTTAGACTCTTGAACCAGGCATAGTATATTGATTAGTAGGGTCCACAGTAAAAAATATTTTGTAATACCATTCGAAAGAAATAACCTATATTATACTGTTTATAAAGTGAGTTTCATTGTAACATAACTTAAGAAAACAATTAATATGCATATGTCAATCATGAGAATAGAATCTATTAATTTAATGAACTATACCCATAGTACTCGGCAAACAGTAAAACAAACCAAAGAAACTAAACAGTGTTAGATCATGTAGTATATAAGTATTTTAATTTTATCATTTAATAAATAAATACAATATAAAATTTAAAATGCCAATTTTTTTTATTTTAAAACAAGTGATTTATATATGTATAAACAATTTACAATTCTTTATCATTTAATTTATTGCCCATATCTTCCGGGATTATAAGGCTAATATTTTGCTGCTTATAGTGCCTATATCTAAAAAAAAATTGGATTAATTAATGATTAAGTATCCCTGTATTTTTAAATGTTAAATCTTATGGACTGAAAAAACTGCTGGTGATATTTCTACTTTCACTGACTGAAGATGCAGAAACCTAGAAGAAATTCAAAAACAAATTGTACAAACATAACGTATGACTATACATTTTGGTAAGTCAATATCGACAAAGCTTTGATTACAGCATCACCTATTTGGTTTTTTTTAAATCCTCTATACAATAGACTATTTCTTTGGCATAGTTTTGTTCATTTAATTTGTTTCTTAGAGGTTATACACAGGGGTAGATATTCTATAAGTAAAAAAGTAATGTATAAGTAATAATACAGATTCTTAAAAATATCCCACCTTACCGTTTCTAGTACTTCAATTTAGTGTGTTTATATTTTATACATGTATAAACTGAACATCATCCACCAGAATTATCAACAATTATGAGTTGAATATTACAAAATATGACCATATTAAGCAAAATTTAAAGGCCTACAATTAACTTTGTTGATAAACACGACTTTTTTCCATGAACTAACGGGTTATTACTAGTAATTGAACACACATATTGGTTTACAGCTACAGTATTAGTAAATCTGAAGGGTCTAGTCTGTATTAGACAATTACAAAAGGATAATCCATACATTTTAACAGTAGAATAATCCAATTTTTGTTAACTCTAGACGTTATCGAAATGCCTGGGACTGGGACGGGCGATAGTTAGGTTAGAGCCTTGTTGATTTTTCTCTTCTTTACTTTTAAAGACGCATTCTGTATTAATTACGATTTAACTAATATAGATTTTTTATTAATTAAAACTGGTATAGTTCAAATTATCAGAAAAAAATATTTTTTGGATATAGATTTCTGTATCCGGAAACTTACTATTATCTTCTAGATTTTCTACATTTAGTATTAATTTTAATTAAAATTTAATTTTTTTGAAGATCTTTAAAGTGAAAAGAAAAAGAATTTTAATTAACTAAAAAAATCAAAATAAAGTTAATTAACTTTGGGCAGAGTTCGACCTCGTCAAAAATAGCATCGATAGTCATTCCCCAGCCGCCTTTGACACCGTTTTTTCTCGATCATACGGTATTATATTCTTCATGTCCAAGTCCTGCCTTATATGTCCACAACACACTGGAAACAACAAACACTTGTACACAACAGAGAACATGGAAAACGAATATCTTCCCATTTCCTTAAACACTCATGAAACATGCATTTACTAACAAAATCTGTCTTTGTAAAATTACCTTCTTCAAAATTATTGTAGCTTTTTTATGTCGGTATATGGGGTTGGGTTCTATAGCAAAATAAAAACACTAAATCACCACAATACACCAAAACACTTTTACTTTTACACTGGACGCGCGTTTCGCTAACCATGTTAGCATCATCAGCAGATGATTATAAACTAAAGTACAATCTACAAGTTGAGCGTTTATATACTCGCCCAGTGGGCACCGAGTGGGCGTGGCAAAATCTAGCCAATCAAGTCAGAGCCCACTGAGCGTAACAGTTAGATTTCCGCCACTAGAGTAGTAGGAACGAAGAACTTGAAGGAATTGTCTTTGTTGTTACTATCTGTCTCTGTTCATACTATCTTTACATTTATTAATTCTGATGCTTTCATATGCATCTAATTGCCTGTAATTTGAGACTTGTTTAATTAATTTTAAATTATTAAGATCTATACAATGTTCTTTATCAACAATATGTTCGGCAACGCAAGATTTATCCGGTCTACCATATCTTATCTGAGCTAAATGTTCTTTAAATCTAGTTAATATTGATCTTCTAGTTTGCCCAACATATTTCTGATTACAATCCTTACAAGAAATTTCATAAATACCCGACCTTTCCAGTGGAGGTGTTTTATCTTTTGGATTACCTAATTATTGTTGTAATTTATTATTAGCACTATACACAAGTTTATAATTGATATTCTTAAAAAATCCTTTTAGACCACGGGATCTTTCTCCACTTGAAAAGTCGAATTTTCAGAAATCATTAACCTATACCTACGTTTTCTAATTAATTTATCAACTAGTGAAGGAGAATATCTATTACACTCAGCTACATTCCTAATGCAATCTCTTTCTATTTCATATCTTTCGTTGGAAAGTGGGAAACTAAGTAATCTATGAACTAAGAAATTTAAACTAGCCATTTTATGTTCAACACTATGATGTGATATGTGATATGATAGGAATATATCTGCGTGTGGTCGTATTTTTCCTATAGATATCAAATTCCAGGCAATTATTAGTATTTCTAATAACTAATACATCTAGAAATGGTAATCTGTCATTGTTCTCAATTTCATGCGTAAATTTAATGGAAGGAAAACGATTATTTAACTTAGAAATAAAATTATCTATAGTGTCTGAATGTGTGTCAAAAACAGCAAAAATATCATCCACATACCTAAACCATACTCTTGGAAAATACCCAAACTGATTCTTAGCCTCCACTTCAAACCTGCTCATGAATAAATTAGCCAAAAATGGAGACAATGGATTACCCATTTCTGTACCTTCCCGCTGTTCAAAAAAGTTGTTATTAAATTGAAAACAATTTTGTTTCATACATAACGATGTAAGCTCAATATATTCACTCACAGTTTTGTTGTCGAGACCATTTGCGTTCAGTAATTCCTTTAAGTAGCCTAAAGTATGTGGAATTGGAACACTTGGGAACAACGAAGATACATCAAAGGAGACTAAAATTTCACCTTCATGCAATGTTATATCTTTAATTTTGTTAATGAATTCAATATTATTTTTAACTGAGAAAGAAGGTTCATGATCCGGTAAATTTTCGAACTCCCTTGATAACCATTTTTCCAAATTATAAGTTGGAGAACCTACAGCCAAAACAATTGGGCGCATAGACTTGTCCGGCTTATGAATTTTCGACAAAGCATACAATTTTGGTAATGAGGGATTGGATACTTGCAATTTCCTTTTTAAATAAAGATCAATAAGGGTGTTACATTCTTTTAGAGTTTTTTTAACGTCTGCTACCATCTTAGACAAAGGATTCTTTTTCAAATTTATGTAGGGGCCATTATCGATTAAGTTGTTAACCTTATCGTAATAGTCTTTTTTATCTAATATAACAACCTTATTTCCCTTATCAGCTTTTAGGTAGAAACAATCTTTGTTACGCAAACTCTTGACAATATTGTGCTCCTTGTTAGATTTTAATGATTTACTTGAAACGATATTTTTTGATAACTGATTTCTACAAGCCTCTCTTGCAAATACTTTAGAAGCCTCGGGCAAGTGCTGAATAGCAGTTTCAACACCAACGACGATTTCCTCCAAAGCGCTACCAGAGTTGGGCAATGCAAACTTTAAACCTTTGTTTAATAAACTGAGCTCTTGTTTATCAAAAGTCTGCGAAGAAAGATTCTCTACTATGTTTATGTCTCTTTGGAAAACATGTTTGTTTTTAGAGCTTTTTAATTTTTTAAACTTATTATTGAAAATGGACATTTTTTTTAACAAATTTTGAATTGATAACCACAAACATATTTCTCTGAAAGAGACACCAACATTCATACTCTACATTATTTAGCTTATAAGTAAGTTTTTTGTAAAGTCCATAGGCTTCAATTTCAAGCATACTTCGTTTACTATACAGAAATTTGATTTCTAAATCAAGCCATTTTTGTTTTGCAATTTTCTCTACCGTATCACTAACGTTATTTTTCGGAATATCAACTTTAATAAAACTAGGATAAACTGAATTGGCTTTGCATGATTTAAGAAACCAAATATCTGCTCCTATTAACCTAATCTTAGTACTAAACTTACGATAAAGATTCAAGTTCTATACCCTACCCCATATACCGACATAAAAAAGGTACAATAATTTTGAAGAATTATATCCCTTTTCAGCAATTTTTGCTTGTTAATTGCATTTTCTCAGATGAATAATTAGAAATAGAGGTCATTTAGGAAGTGACAATATTGCATCCCGTTAAGTGCCGTAAATATGGTAATATCAGAGATTAAGAAATTAGACTGTGGGAAAATTTGCGGCGAACAAGTAGTTCTAAAAAGTTTTCGAAAAATATACAGGGAAATTTAAAAGAAAATGCACGATTTCCAACATTTTTTTTTGCGACAAAAACTCATAGACCAAAATTACCACCCCTGAAAATATTTGCACTTATTTAAGACTCACCCTGTATAAGGTGTTTTAAATTCGACTCTCATTATTGGAATCTGTTAGTCAGCCCAATGGTAATCCGTTCAGTAATTGAACTTACCTTTGTCTTCTCCGGAAATATGACGGAAAAACTGAAATTTCAGGTCTTTGTTTTTATTTTCTTAACAGTATGTTTTTACAAGAAATTCTCTAAGAAACTTTCTTAGCCTCACCCTTTGGTGACGTGAAAAATCACTTAAGGCCTTATCTACCCTATTTTTAAAATACGGATACGAGTTTTTATTTTATTTTCTAGAAGCTTATGACCTCTGAAATACAATGATGGTAGCACTTGTCTAAAAAATGTATAATAAAGAATGTTCTCACGAGAGCAATGTGTTGGATAGAGATGAGCATACGAGTCACTTTAATTATGTGTGAGTAAAAAGCCAGCAACATTTTTGGGGTAAGTGCTATACGTCATCAGAGGTCAGACGCTTCTAAGAAATGAAATAATCCAGGTCTCAATTTGAAGTTGATGGTCCCAGAATAACGAAATATTTTAAGTGATTTTTGAGCTCACCAAAGCTAAAAATGTTTTTTGAGAATGTCGAATGTGTTGATTTCGGTGGCTTGTGTTTATAGATTGTGTATCTTTAATTTGTTCGTTTTGATATTTATTCAATATCATTATTTTTGTGTTACTGCTAACACATACATTTTATAAATAATAATAAATAACGCAAATATACGTTACTACGTATGCAGAGATAAGTTACTTCGTATCTTTGCATTTCTATCTAAAAATAAAGTTTATTTAGATTTACTACATTTAAGTTACAATGTACTAAAATTTATTTCTTTAGAAAAACACTTCTTCTTGGTGCATTTATTCTGGCACAGTCTGTAGGATTACATAATTTATCTTGGTCTGATTCTCGGTTTCTACTTTTGAAAGTCATATGAAACAAATTATAGGCTTTGGATATTTAATAAATTCTACTGTACTTAAAAATCCAATTCTGCATTGATTAAACTTTGAATAAGAATATTAAGGATATTCATGCATGGTAGACGGTATCGACATTATGGCTCCTCATCCTGGACAGTTCTATTTAACATTTCAATTAAAATATTTAAATTTGATTTGAAATTTTGTATATTTGCTTGTCTTTCCTGAGCTTATTTTATAATTTTCATTATTTATTTTACATTCGGTTTTGTGTAGAGGAAGTATTAATCATGAAGGAAATTGTATCAGAACTCAAATTAACAGTGACATTATTGTGATTTACCGAAAAAGATGTAAATATTTGATTCTATAATATAATATCTACTAATATTTATCGACAAAGTAAAATAAAACAATAAATTATTGAGTCATGTATAGTATAATGTTGAAATAAAATTAAAACGGCACTGATAAGCCGGAATTTAAGTCAGCCAAGTTTTTTAATACGCTCCTTACTTAATCTTATTATTCAAAGTGATTAAATGTTATTTTAAAATAAGCCACAATTGTTTTACAAATAACAAGTTCAAACTTATTGATGAAATTATTTGTTAGAATGTTTCGATCGAAAATTTGTTTTTTGTATCAATACTAATTACTAATCCTAAAATCAATGTAAAAGTAATGTATCAATGCAAAAGTAATGTACTTCTTGCCAATTATTTTAATCATTGTGAATCTCTCTTTCTCTCGCTCACAGTTATTCTAAAGAAGCATATTTTGTCTATATGCTCTATACTTACCTAGTATACGTAAGGTTCATGAGGAGCCCGTCCTTGAACCATCGAAAAGTCGTTGTGGGGGAACCCCTGGCCACGCAGCTCAGTATGAATTCGTCGTTCTCCCTGATCACGCCCGCTTGATTTATGTCCACACTCTGGAACAGGAAAAAAGGTCTGGGAAAAATAGTGGCATCGGCAAATTTTGTTTAGTGCCGCTATAATTTTCAACTAAATAACCGGCGCGGCGGTGGCCGGGAGGGAAAACTGCAAGCGCATCGGAAAATTTTTCAACAAGGTTTTACTCGCATTATTGCGCTTGGAGATTGTCGTAAATATCGGGATTACGTTTTGATTAAAATATTTTATTTCTTACTGAATTAATATATGCCGAGGGGTGTCTCACTTGGATAAAAAAATATTATTCTACTGTTAAGCATGTCTGCCATATATATAATTATTGTCGACTGCCGCCAACGACTGCCAAGAAAATGCACATACATATATACTGCCATTACTCCCTGACGAGTATTTGACACGAATCAGAAGATGGTCACGCAAGGCGTTTTCTTTCATGAGCTTTTCTGTGACTGAAGAGCCCGATACGTGATGTTATCTGTCTACCGCACTCCGGACATTCAAATCTCATGGCTTTGTTGTCTCGTTACTTTTTGGTTGTCGCTGTTAACTGAGTTTACAATTCTTCTCCATTGCGTTCTGTTGTGAGCTGCTTCTTCCCGCTCATACTGCATGTTAGTCACCTTTAATTTTTCGTGAAAAAAATCCTTGTACGTTTTGAGTTTGGTTTGGTTTGGTCCACCCGGCCTCCTCTTACCGTCTACAAGCTCACCGTAAAACAGAGATTTTGGTAAGCGGTTTTCTTGCATTCTGCATATGTGACCAGCCCATCTTAAGCGGGTTTTTGTAACCATGACTTCAATACTCTCGCAGTTAGCTTTTTCAAGAATCGATATGTTTGAGACATGATGGAACCATTTGATTCTTAAGAGTTGTCTAAAGTGTCTCTGTTGCAACTTGTTTAATGCTTGTTCATGTGTTTTACGGCACCCAGGTTTCGCTTCCATATAATATGGTGGGAATTATTATTGCTCGGTACACTGCAAGTTTCGTTTTTGGGCTCAAGTCGTGATTGTAGAAAACCCTGTTTTTTAATTTCCAGAATGCTCTTGAGGCTGTGCCACAGCTTAAGTAAAAACCAGCTCGGACAGTGTAGCGTGCCGCTTTGATCTTTTTACGCTCGGATTTGCGATTCGAAAGAGGGGGAACACTAGAGCGGCGAGCTCTCTCGCCAAAACCAATAGCCGCGTAAGCGCCAGTCAGCCCAGAGATGTATTCAAAAAAAATTTACACGTGACGTAAAAAAATTATTCGATTGGTGCTAGAACATAATTTAGATACACGTTTTTTAAATTGTTGACTTTAAATAAATATGCATTCTCAAAGAAAAACATTTAAAAAACAAATTAATTAATTTATTTCTAGAAATAACAGCAAAATGAAATAGGTACATTGATTACTTATAGTTATTTACGAATTGTTTCTAAATTAGGAGCTTTCGGTTTTTGTTTGCTACATTTAAGTTCTTAGTAATATTCTTTAAGGTATAATAATTTCTAACTTTTGCGTATAAATTTAACAAAAAATACATTATAGGAAAATTTTGATTGATGGTTGAATTTAATTGTCTGAAATAATTTAACGAATTTACATAATATATTTTCATTTAAGAAAAGTTCTTCAAAATTGTTCTGAAAAATTTTATAAAAAAACTTTTTTAAAAACAAGTTTTTATTTAAATACACTAAAAAGAATAAAATAAACTTTTTCTTTAGAACTTTTATTATGAACTTATAACGTCATTACACAATTTTAATATTATATAAAAGCTTGTCGCGAGATTTGAGTGTACATTTGCACTCATAAAAATCTGGTACGACAACTTTATCTTGTAATTCCTGGTCTAGTGGTCTATCATAACAGAAACTTTGAGAATGAGACAGGGTAGACACAGGTTTTAGTTAATTTACTTGTTTATCGATGTAGAGAAATCTCGCGACAAGCTTTTATATATCTAATATTAAAATTGTGTAATGACGTTCTAAGTTTATAATAAAAGTTTTAAAGAAAAAGAGTTTATTTTATTCTTTTTAGTGTATTTAAATAAAAGCTTGTTTTTAAAAAAGGTTTTTTTATAAAATTTATCATCTACTTTTTAGTTATGCTTGTTTCTCAGTGCCACACACTTAAACTCAATTTTTTTTTCTTAAATAACTTTCTATGGGATCCTAATAATATGTATATCGATTTTCATTAAAAAGGAGAACATAAAAAAACGACAGCTGTCAAATTTGACAGTTCAAATGTGAGACAAATAAAATGAAAACCGACTATGGGGGGGGGGGGCATCAATATATCGATTTTTATCAAAATCGGACAAATTTGAAATTATTTGACAGCTGTCACATTTGACAGCTCAAAATTTTTTTCTTTCATTTTAGCGCACGGCCATCATCGATTTTTATCAAAATCGGACAACTTTGAAATTTTTTTGACAGCTGTCAAATTTGACAGCTCAAATTTTTTTTCATGCATTTTAGCCCAATGCCGTCCTATATATCAATTTTTATCAAAATCGGACAACTTTGAAATTTTTTTGACGGCAGTCAAATTTGACAGCTCAAATTTTTTTTCTTTCATTTTAGCCCATGGCCATCCTATATATCAATTTTTATGAGAATCGGTTGACTTTGAAATTTTGACATGTCATTAAACTGTCATTTTTTCAAGATGGCCGCCCATATATTTTTTTTCATATGTATATACCCACAATATACCTATAGTCTGTCCAACTAGAAGATCCTTGACAGTGATAGATGTGTCTGTCATTTTAATTTCAAAGTAGTTTATTTTATTTTACAAAGAAATAAGTTGGTACAACTGGAACGCATAGCAGGAAATATTTAAAATTTGATTGACAAGATGACAAGTGATTACTTCAAAATTGTATAAAACTGAAAAAATGTAATCGAGTTATTTTATTTAATAAAAACGGTATGTGTTAATACAAAACAAACAAGAACAAGGCACTACATACCAAAAAAATATAAAAAATAACTATTATTTACTTTCAAGCTTTATGAAACTACCCGCATTTATGATTATATTTATCAATATAACTTATGTACAAATACAAATTTGTAATATTCCACAGGTATAAATAAAACAACATAGGTAAATACAACAACTATTTTATTAATAATAACACCTACCAAATTTTATACCTTAAAGGTGGATTAATTACCTTTAATCTTAATTTTTTTAAACCAGTACCTTTTGACATTATTTTTCTGCACCAGTACTAAAATCCATTATTTACCTATCGTGTGATGTCGATATTTTACAGCTACTCCAGTTTTTAGTATGTGTTTAGTTTGATCCTTATATACGAAATGCACTTATCTACGACGAAATGGTATACAAACTTTATCGATGGCAACTTCATTGGTGTATAAGACTTTCTGCCTGGGCAGCGTGTATTAACCATAAACTGTGCTCTGGGCCTACAGTTAATTTTCACTCGATTTTTCCTCCACTTGACTTCAAAAGACACAAAACACACGTAATAATACGAATCAAAATGCATCATCTTTCAAAATGCAGGGTATTTAACAAAAGTTGACACAAAATTATAACCAATAATTTGGCAAGACTTTGACAAGCGTCAAAAATGACAAAAATCTAAAGGCGAGTTCATACGCATCGGCGTCCGTTTGTCGTTCATCGTTCCGTCAAACCAATAAAATTGAAATACGTTCTGTCATTTTTTAAATAAACCAATAAAACTGGTTAAAAACAACAAGACACGACGTATGACGGATTTATATTTAAACCCATCCATAGATAACTTAAAAATTATTAGAAACTTTTTTTAGTAAAGTAAATAGATTGGTATGGGACGTCATCTGCTTTTCTTCTGTCATCGTCTGTCGAAATCTTACCTGAGAAAAAAAAACAGAGTATATACAGGTTGTTAAATTGTTCATTACTCGCGGCAAGAGTTTTATGGTTGAAATAACATCGGCCCGCTCGTCGATAGACGACGCGACGGGACGAGTCGGCAGAAAAATCAATAATGCATACGTTCTCAATAGGCAGTGTTGCCATTCTGTTTCCCTATAAGTAACTGCCGAGTTAACAACCTGTATATATATATAATTTCAGCCCGATCCATTCATAAATAGAATTTTAAAAATCAAAACCTCAAAAATGCCGCCATTTTGATAGCTGTCAAAATTCGGGTCATGCCTTGCAAAAAAAAATGTATTGTCATCGGGACTGAACCTACATGCCAAATTTCAATCTCCTACAATAAAAGGAAGTGGTTTTAATTTAGCTTACAAGATTTGCCCCTGAACAAACATACATACATACATAGATAGTTACATACAAAGCAAGTTAAATAAAAGCTTATAAAAATAGCCTCCAATGAGGAAACTAAATAAAAAAATGGTCACTTGGCATTAGCAAGCCTCCAAATAAGTAGTCTTCATCGTTTTGAAAAGCTCTAAAGTGTGAATATACTTTTATTTATTTATTTATTTATTAATACCAGTTAATTTACAATGTAGAAATACATGATAAACCGCAGAGAGACAGAGCTCTGTACGCGGACCGGTTTAACTTAAAAAATTAACAACTAAAAACTAAAAAACTAAAAAACTAAGAAGTATGAAACAAAAATAAATATAAATACAAACAAAAATAAAGATCAATTACTTATAACTTAAGCTACAGGCGATCAGTATTCCGCTTTAGCCAAAACCTGATAGTTCTCTTCAAATTTTTCTTTTCCACTGTTAAATTTTTCAATTCAGTTGGTAAGAGATTGAAAATTTTTATCGCTTTAATGTAACTGTCTTTATCACTTATTCTTTTGCTATTTTTTGGTATAATTATGTTTTTGTTTCTTGTAATACTTTTGGAGTTTATATATTTGTTTTTTAAGATCTCATAGTGAAAAGTTATTGCTTCTAAGTTATAAATTTGTTCAATACTTAATGGATTTTTGTCTATTACAAAAGAGTTGTTGTTGATTACTTTCAGTATTCTTCTCTGTAATGTATTTAATAGCGTAAAA